AAGCAGGGAACATATCTGGCCTCTAGATGACATAGACTAAATAAAGCTGTTTTCAGAAATGGTACATGTTTTTCAGGGTGTCCTTTATAAGAATACTTTCAGTCTCATTTTGAGTATTATACTCAAAACTTTCTCCCAAGTGGAAAAATATTTTTGAAACTGTTATTTTATATATGATAGATATGGGGAAAAAAAGGGACTCCACCCCTCCCACCCCCCAAAAAAAACCCCTTTGAATTATAAACTATATACAATAATTTTAAAAATAATATAACAATTTTTAAATTTTTTAGATAGATTGTCATCTTTCAGTATTTTTGGGTAACACAGGTATGTTGAAGAGACGCAGTGCTACTGTAATGGTCAACAAGAAACAAGCTCTTTCATTATTTTTCTTTTTGGAAAACCAGGATGAAAGCTCTATCTAGGATAATTTGAAGGTTATGAGCCATTCACTAAAATTGTTTATTTTTAGATATTTTGTCCTTAAAATTTAATAGCTAAGAAGAAAAAGCAGAGAGCAAAACACAGGGTCATTCTTAGTGATTAGTTAGTTTTTATGTCTCTCAGATGGCATATGTTAGAGATAAAATAATAATTTGATTTTTTTCAAAGAAACATGTAGGTTAACAAGAGGGTAAGGATTTCATGAAGAAAATATGTGATAAAATTTAGTGAAAAGTTTAGCACTATGTTCTGCTTTGGCCTTAAAAACTTTAGTCTGTTGGTTTGTTAAGTGGGGAATGAATCTTGTTCAAACAAGCAGGGTGTTAGAACTGTGATATTAAATTTGATATCAAATTGTGGCTGGAAATGTGTTACTGAAGTCTACTCTGCAGTCATATAATAGACTTCTGCGGTGGATGTAGCCATGTTGTGTACCATTTTGGCTAAAAGTTCACTGTGGAAATCCAGTTTAACACATACTAGATGGATTTAAATATCTAGTTAAGATTTTTAATGGAGACTCGATGTCCCATTCTCAATGAGAACCTTCAGGTTTTGTCATGATCCAGTGCTCAGTTTATGGCTTTCAGCTGGTGATGAGAAAAAGAATCGACTGTTTGTCAGTAACGATTGGAGGTACTGCAGAAAAAATAGAATCGCAAACACTGATAAAATCAAGCTAACTGTATAGAAGGAAATAGTGGAAGACTCCATGGAAACTTCATTCTTCCGACTAATCACATTTTGTTAAAGTGATTTCAAGACTTCCAACATTTAATTTGGACATCTTTGTTATTTACAAATGAAGCATCTTATAAACAGTTTCATTTAAGAAAACAAGTTGTCATGGTAAGTAAAATCTAAAATGGAGATTCCTATGCAGCACGGTTAAGTGTCCTTATCAGTTTTAGCCTTTAAAGATTTAAATAAAGTTAAAACTTGCTGAAACGGCATTGGTTTACATTGAAGTAGAAGTCACATTTTCTCAGGATTAAAAAGTAAAAGCAGATCCAGCTAGAGCTGGTTACTCAGGGCCTCATCCAGTAAAGTTTTCATCATCTCCAAGTCAGAGATTCCACAGCTTTGCCAACCTCTTCCAGTATTTTACAGTCTTAATGGTAAAATTTGGAAATCTTTTTTTTCTTTCAATTTGGGTTGCAACGTGTATTCCTTGCTTCTTATCCTCTCACTGTGCACTTCCAAAGAGTTTGGCTCCATCTTCTCTATACCCTTCCAATTTAGGTAGTTGTAGAGAACCATATGATCGTAGCTACATAGTATTTTTACCTTTTGTGGGTTTTCTGTGTGTGTTCCTGTAAACATGTAACCAGAATATCTTCAGTAGTGTTCTGGAATTGGTATCTGTGAACAAAATGTTCGTTCTTATTTCTGGGGCTCTAACTTCCTTTCTGACAGTACAGGGTGATACGGAATTATTGAAAGGATAATGAATCAACAGAACAATGTAACTATTAGACTAATTAGGTTTCAAAATTTGATTGATAACCATACTATATGGAGAGTATGGAGAGATGTGAAGTGGTGACTGTACTCCTGAGAGACAAGAATACAAGTAGGTGAGTCTCACTGACATTTTAAGGCTCTGTGTGTACAGCTGGGTAGATACCTGCTTAGGTTGTCTCTCTGTATCATGTGAAGTGCCTCCCTGAAGCAGAATTCTTGCTGGACTAATTACAGAGCTTCTGTTAGTTCATCAAGCTCATTTTTCTCCATAAATTGGCACTGACATATGCGTTTTTTGAGTTGGGCTATGGATTCATTTTTATTGAATTAGTAACTCTCTGAAAATGGGGCATTTAAGTTTAAAGACTATTCCTGTTTGTAGTTTCAGTTTTAATGTTTTCAGTTTCAGTTTTCAGATGCTTATTTTATGTCACTAGTAATAAAAAAAGGCCATGTTAAATATTTCAGTGCTGAATTTTATCCAAAACCTTGTTTGGAATAAAAAAATAGCATTAAGTGAGAAAAATATGCTGTTTATAATGAGTCTTGATACATATTTGTTTAATTTAGATTTGTGAATGTTAATTGATCATGGTTCCTTCCAGTCTGTTCAAATGTTATGGTCCCTAAACTGGAATAGCATCCTATTTTAATTATCATGCAAACATGATTTATTTGTTTCCTACAAATATTAATTACCTTGCTCCTTTTTCAGGGAATGTATATCAAATCAACATATGATGGACTACATGTAATCACAGGAACAACTGAAAATGTAAGCTGCTTTATTCCAAATGACTTATCATGCATACAAGCATTTTCTGTGTATCTGTAGTGCATTTTCTAACAGGAACATTTGCTTTAAAGCAAACCACTTTTATTAATATGTTTTTCTTTGTCTTTTCTGTATATATAACATCTTTGTAAAAACTTGGAACCCTGGAAAATAGACATTAAACAAATCTGTGATGAAGTGACTAATAACTAACAATATAAGAAAATTAAAATCTTGAACTTCTGTCCTCAATGGTTCTTCCAACACCTTTCTAATAGTGTTCATGTATATGTTCTCTCTGGCACAAAAGTGTTTTCCTTTATATTAATAATTTTTTCTCATGTAAGTACATCATCATTAGGCCAAAATAGTTTCTGTTGTATTTAATTTTCTTCTCTACTTTAGATAAATCTCTCAGAACATAGGACAGTTTGGGTTCATATATATATACATATATTAAAAAAAAAACATTTTTCTGTCAATGAAACAGTAGAAATAATGTAACAGGAAAAATATAATCTACCTCAGGTGTTTATATTGACCAGAGTAGTCACAAAATTGCAGAGTCAGTAACAAGCGTAGTTGTTATCTGAGCAACCCTTAATGTGTAGGGTCAGCTTACCCTCTGCGGTGAGTACATATTGTCATACAGTGATGAGTACTTATTTGCTAAGAATGCTTTCTTTTCTTCTTTAAATGGACAGTAGATTTTTTATTGTAATTAGAACAAAAGAAAAAATAACCTAATTAATTTTAAAAGAATGTTAGAAAGATTAAACTTTTGGAGATGATCCTAGGATTGCCTCTCAGAACATGCATAGCTTCTGTATGTCTAGGCAGTACAATAAAATAGATTATAAAATAATAAATTTTAAAATAGTTACAATGTTAGTAATGTGGTTGTTGTAAAAAACGTGGCTAATGGAGAGAGATAACTGAATATATTATATTTGGTATCAGATAGGTTATAAATAATCTTTTATAAGCCAGAAATTTTTCAAAGCTAGCAGTAATTACTGACAGGACTATCACTAAGAAGGTTGAAGTAGTGGAAAGGAGCAAACAGATTTTGGTACATGATTGGAAGGGGATTGATAATATGACAGTGTTAAAGAAACAAGTTAGTTAACAATCCAAATGACTGTTGTGTGAGGATGTATGGAAAGTTCTTTTACAAAAATAACTATTCCTGAAAGAATTGTATTAGAAAGAGTTAAGAACCATTGTATTTTCATATTTTCCATCATTTGTAGCAAAAATAAAAAAGAGACCAAGAAAAATGTATTCATTATCATTTCTATGGTAGTCCCAGGAGTGTTAGGCACACAGAATGCTGCAGCACATAAATCAGTATGACTGATCATAGAAAAACTAAACAGTGTGACAAGAATAATGAAGGAGTTTCTAAATATCCTTCTTGTTACTTAACTTGCAATTCATAATTATGAAATTGAAAAAATAAATTTACTTCAACTTCTGCAATTTACTTACTATGACAGATTTCATAAGACCCATCTCTTCTGTTTTTCATGTAGAGGATATATCAGTCACACTGTTTTCATTGTGCCTTGGATCTGTTTAACAGCGTAGAGCTGAATAAATGACAAGTTAAGAGTTTATAAAGCTAATATTGAAATTATGTAATGCTGACACTCAAGGAAAATAAAATTAGCACTGTGCAGCTAGCCAAATATGTAAATAGTTGCCAGCATACGTCAGTAGTATGCTGTCACGTATGGGTAAGCTTCATAGGTGTTCTTTTCTTCTGCTTGATTTATATCTATTGGGTAGTATTGCATCATACAGTTTTTGTCACTCAGGTTTTAGGCAGTGCCTGCCCATGGAAAGACTAATGATCTGTGTCACAATTTGTGAAGACAATTCTAATGCAATTTTAACTTAAAATTTGCTTGCTTATTTATATTAATGCCATTGGCAGGGTTTAGAAGTATTTAGAAATATTAGAAACTTAATAATGATCCATCTTGATTATGTTGCAACAGATTTTGTTAATAGATTGAATTACTCATACTATAATTAATCCAGTTTTAAACTGTAATTCTAGTTCATTTTAGAAATATAATGCAGCAGGAGGAGTTATCAAATGGGCAGCCACTAACATCTGTATTTTTATTTTGACTAAACTTTCAATGTCAAAACTTTTTGATAAGACACCAACATAAGAAGTTGCTTTTTTGTTTTTGCTAAAAGTGTAATCACACGAGCAGATAAAACAGCTTCAAAGACCTTTAATTTCTGGCATTTCAGCAAATTGATTTTTCATTCCTTTTGAAGGGATAATTGACCTCAGATCCGGTGTTTAATTTTAAAATATAATAATTAGCTCAACCTCATCAAAGTCAGGAAAGGAACTAGAAAGAGAAAGAACTAGGCCCTTGCTTTTTCCTAAAAAAAGAACAAACCAGGCCTTCATTTTTCAAACCAACATCAACTGAAGATAAACACTATGAATTGTGGTGTATACTTCAGTTTCTGGCTTACCTTTTATTCACTGTTTAAAGTGATCAAGTTTGTATTCACACTGAATTCTAGACATACCTTTCTGCTAAATGTTTAGTCCTGTGCCAAAGAGCAGTCTACCAGAATTCTGCAAGTTGCCACTAAAAGGAAAAATTGACACTGAAGCCAGGTAATTCTTCCCACCATCCTATAAATGCACAGGTAAAATCCTGTTTATTTCAGCGCAGGAGGACTCAGATGACAGGAGTTGAGATCTGGCTGTAATGACCAGGTAGTTTAGCTCCTGGCGACTCCCCGCTCCAGGAGACACACGAGCCCTTTTGAATGAATAAGCAGAGATCAAGCAGGTGAGAGTCGGAAGGAGGCTTGTGCTGGGAAGCTGGGCAGGGCAAGGCTAGGAATGGTAGGCAAGCAGTAGGCTGCAAGTAAAAGCTGTGCTTGGAACAGCACCTGTAACACACTTGGAATCACTGTGTCAACTTTTAGCTATTTGCTCTCTTGACTTTTATTTTGTTACTGATCGAATAGTTAATGATGTCTCCTACTACTCTCAGCAGCTCTGTAGACTGCAGACTCAGTTGATGTGTCAGCACGTGTTGACTATTGGAGAGTGACTTGACCTCTCCATAGATGAGTCTCTGGCATTTCATTCAGAAGTAATTGCAGTCATTTTCTTCCCTGTGGTGATTAGGGGGTTTGCTGTATTTTTTCCTCTAATCTTTGTTCCTTTTATGTGTTTATCTTCGTTTTTAATCCCCATCCGCAAAAGGGATGGAAATGATGGGTGGGATTTTGGGTTGGTGGAGACTGTCCTGATGAAGTGCTCTTGCCTGTTTCCTGGAAGTCTTGATTGGTATGCAGTGAGATCATGAATATAAGCTTCCACAAGTCACCTTTAGACAAATCTTTTCTTCCTTCACATCTAACAGCTGGCTCTTGTGTCATGGGCAATTTATGTTACAGGCTGGCTCCAAAAAACATCCAGGAACTGACCTAAGTTTTGATAACAACTCCCTTTCTGTGAGGAACTTCTTCAACAGTATGAGAGGTAGACCACTCTCTGTAGCTGCAAGTGGCTCTTTTTCTGCCTCTCCAGAGTCTGCTTACTTGGACAGAGAACTTGGACTGTCACCAAAAGACTATTTTGCTTTAAATGTTTCTGCATTGTTTGAGATGGGACAACCTGTCCTCTCTCCTCTCTGACTCCGTATCTAACAAGTAGAGTAAACCTTCAGCCTTGTCCAAGTCTCCTGGCCAGTCTACGTCCTTAATAGCTAACTTCCACTGTGATTTATTTCTCAAGGTTATGTCTCATCTCTTTAATTCTTTTCTGGTTATTTTCTCTTGAATTTCAAATTGATATCTCTGTGTCAGTAGAACACTCCTGTAAGCTAGTGCACAATGCAAGTAAGTTGCCTTGCATTCTCAATTCTCTGCTCCTGAGGAAGACTGCTGCTCTCCTGCATGCCTTACACATTTGTCCACAGATTTAAGATCTGGTTGCACCAAAGCATTCAAAAATGGTTTGCTAAATAGCAGTTGACCATGTTCAAGTGGCTTATCAATGGGTTTTAATCCATTTTAATCTGACCAGAAGAAGCTATATTTAGGATAAAGGAGTTTTTCAGCTCAGCTATCCCAAAATTATGTGAATGGTATATATGGAATAGCGTGCATATACATATATATAAACCTTCCTGGAGAACTAGTATGTCACCAACATTATCCATGTGCAAATTATCACTTTCTGTGTTCAAATGGTTAATCTAGTACTGTCTCAGGAGTGCTGGAGCTGTAGAGTATTTGCAGAGTACCTTCAGTGCACTTAAGCAGCAAAACTGCAATATGAAGGACTGACAGACCTGCTTTTCTGTTACACACACAGTTAGTCCAGCCCTGGCCCTGACCATGCAGTAAACTCAGTGTTTGTTGTCCTAACAGATTTGCTTCTGTAATGTAAATGCACATTTACATTAAAATAAAAAATAAAGTGTATTCCAAGCAAGGTTGTGACTGCTCATACTCCCCACAGAGAGGTAAAGAAGCTAGAACTGTTTAACCCGCCAGAAAGTCTGTTCACCACCGATGGAAGTGGCAGTCTGGATTACTTCATTGAATTGACATCTGTAGCCAGATAAAACATAGCTCCTTATAAATACAGTTTTTATAAATATTACCCATTATTGTTATTTGATACAATAGCAATGATACTTCTTTGGGCACAGCTTTCTTGCTTTCTTCAACATTCATTGTTTTAATTCCTGCTTTTCCCTTCCTCCTCTACACCCTGCATGTAAAGTTAATTATTATATCTTGTCCTTAGTCTCCTGCTGACCAGTGTAAGAAAATCCATGCTGGCGATGAGGTGATCCAGGTCAACCATCAAACTGTGGTAAGTATTTTGCAAATTCCGTTCTGCAGGCTTTGCCTATTCTCACTGCTTAAAAGGTAATAATTCTTACAAGGTAATTTTGCCAAACTAGATTATTATTTGTGTCTTTTAAAATACAATAGCCACTGCTTATGCTTAATAAGAAAAGGCACAAGTTGAGTCAGTAACCACCCCAGAAGGATTAAGCCAAATTTACATTTCACACAGCTGCTGTTCTACATCATACTCATTATATAAGGAGATCCCAGAATATTTCGTTGAAGATCTTAGACTTCTTGTTATGGATATGCGAGCTCATTTCACTTTTTCTCTAAAACAGAATTTTGCATTCTGTTTAATATGGGATTCAGAATAAAAATGCAGCACTGTTATGACAGCCATATATACTGAATGTGTTGAGGGAGAAAACTTAAAGATGATTAAAGTGCCGATAGAAATCTGTCAGATTCTGCTTTTGAGCATTCTTGCATGCAGATTTATTTTTAAACAGATAAGCAGTTTTATACATCCAGTGAAATTATTAATCTGTTTAAACTCAGGTGAGCATGTGCATGCAGAAGCGTACGCTGCGCCTAAAGCACCATGGTACATGGTCTGTGTACGTTTAAACATGCCTACCGTCGCATTTCTCCCACAGCTGTATGCCGTGTTGTGTGCTGTGTGCATGTAGAACTAGATCTCATTTTCTGGAGAAATGCAGCAATAATGTTTCTGCAGCATTCATAGGATTGTATCATGACTTAAAACACGTGACTTCACTGAAGAATCCACAGTTTATTTATTTATTTTTTAAACTGAATTGTTTGCAATTGAGCTCTAAAGGCTTATCACAGCCTTATCCAAGGTTGAATGATTATATTTTTCTTTCTAATTTGCGATGGCACAAGCTGCTGTTTTAAAACTGATGTTAGTTCCTATGTTGATGACTACTGAAAAAATGCAGTCAGATTTTGTCCCAGTACTATCTTAAGTCATAGGGATTGTTCCTTTAAAAAAATTAAATGCTATGTTGCAGAAGGATGGAAGCAGTGTTGCTGGAACTGCAGGTGAAAGGAACACTTGTATTTATTACTTGTGAGACACGAGGAGCATTGTTGTGACAATGATGATAATTTTCTAAAGTGCTTATAATGTAGCCATTTAACTTTGTCTTGCTGAATCCAATCTCCAAACACAGCAGCAGCAAAATTAAGAAATTTCTTTCTGTCTGTCATTTGTGTGAGGTGGAAATATGAAAGTCTGATTATTAAAATCTTATGATTAGAGAGCAAATATTTTCTCTTGAAAGGAAGTATAACTTATTCATTTACACTTCAAATGTTAATGCAACATGCAGCTCTTATCTATATTAGAGAGCTTCTATGAGCTGTCACAGTTAGAGGTTGAAATATGCATTAGACTGGCTTTCTCCATCAAAGATACTCTTCAAGTGACAGACCTGATTTAATCTTTACTCCCACAGGTGAAATCCTTTCATTCAGCTATCGACGACTTGGCTTTCTGGATAGCAGCTCTTTCCATGTGTGTTATTACCATAGGGCCAAGGTGTTTGATACTTGTAATCCCTTTCTGGCTAAGGGCACAGTATCAACAGCTGAGTCAAGTGGCATAAAATACCTTTTCCTAAAAAAACACATTATTAATTACTCATTCTAAAGTTTATAACAAGCTAAGAAAAGAGCTAAATGGCAAGCTGTGTCTTTCAGAACTTTATTCTTCCTTTGAAATGGCTGGGAAAGTCTCATTCTGCCTTCACTGTGGCTTTGGAACGTCAGACAGTAATACTGGGTGTTTGCATGTTTCAGAGGTATATACCTAACCCTAAAAAAAACATGGATGGGGTAATGTTTTAAGTACCACTTTGATCTTCAAGCATGCCCTTTAAGTCGTTTCTGGTACATCTTGCTACAAACTACGCTTAGCTGTGTTCCTTCTTCACACAAGTTGTGATGATCAATATCATGTTTCTAATTACCATTATTTCCATTAGTGGAGTAGACTGATGCAAAGGTAACAGCTCATTAAATTTCCATATAATCAATATTTTAATACTAGCAGGACCAGCTCATAAAATGAGGTGTAAGTAATCAATATTTTAATACTAGCGGGACCAGCTCATAAAATGAGGTGTAACCCATTTGAAATTAGTGACTGGGGGGCAGTTGATCAGCCTTGCAAAAGAAAGGCTTGCATATCTGTGGTGGTCTTAAAGGTTTTCCAGAGCTGTAAACTGTCTTGCTCACTAAGCAGAGGAGCATGGATTGGTGCCTGCACAGAGTCCTTGCTAGAACCCAACGCTTCCTCATAGCAGCTTAGCCAAAGCAAGTGCTAGGAGAAGTAAACTTGTAAAAGAGAAGAATACAAAGCAGTTTGAAGTTACACCTCGCTGGAGTGTGCTTGTTGGGCTGCTTTGAACTTCTCACTTCCCTCCCAGTGTTCTTTCTTGCCTGGTAGTTGGTAGTGCATTTCTACCTTTCTTTTGCTTGCTGGACTGGAGATTAAATGCTTCCTGCTCATGCTTTCTCACACATGCTCTTTCTCACTCTTTTTCTCTCTGTCCTCTTTTTTTAAGTTAAATGTCACATCTTCATCCCCTCTAAAATAAAAGTGCAGCAAATGTTTGCATTGATTTATAACCAGTTATGATGGCTTGCTTTTTCCCTTTACCTTGTTCTGGAGCTGAAAACTGTTCTTCAATTCTCTAAGGATTTCAGTTTATTTCATCAGAAGCGTTTAGCATTGCCCTCTGAAGAGGCAAATTATTACATTTTGTATCCTAAATACTTCCTGGGTTTTTACAGAAATGTCAAGATAGATAGTTAAAGTATTATTTACAACATGTGTATCCAGTGAAATCCATGGTCTCCAGTCTCATGTTGGTTTTCCATAGAGACTCAAAGCATTAAAAGCTTAGGTGATAAAAATGAAGGTGTTAGTGTTATTTCTTATTCCTGCTTTTCACTTGTTCATTGGTAAGGGAGGTTTCATAAAAAGTACACACAGTGTAAAGATGCAGAAATATGCTTCCTTCAGCTATCGATATGCTTCAAAGATTCTGCATCCCACAGGTTCTGTCTTTGTTGTCCGAACAAAGACAACATTTTCTTAATATTGAAGTTTCTGTAGCATTTTGGCAGTCTATCAAATCCGAAACCCATTCAACACCATGTGTCTTGACAGAACCTGTTCTGAAGATTATTAGATACAGTCATTTTGTACTGCCACTAGTGAAAATACTTTCCTGATTAGAGACAGTATGGATCTGTTTAAATAGATTCCAATTCTATAACTGACTACAGGCAACTTTTATTCTGACTTTGACTGAACTAGGTCAACATATTTTCCAGATAAATTAATATTAATTAATTTAATAACATCATTTGAGTTTTAAAACCTTCATTGGTGTTCCCACAACCTGTAAAAAGTTGTTCTGGTAGTTAATTATTCTCATTGCTGGGGGGAAAAAAAAAATCATTTTATTTGTAGTCTGCATTTGTCTGGCACAAGCTTCCAGTCCTTTGATCTTGATATATTTTTATCTGTTAGGTCAGAGAGCAGGTTTCTCATTTAGGTATTTTCAGAATGCAACCAAATTACCTGTTCACTTTTTTTCAGTAAGCTAGACAACTTGAACACTTCCAGTTTGTCATCCTAATGCACGATGCTCCTCAATAACCTCTTTAAATTCTCAACTGTGATACTTTGCATATTTAAAACTGAATTACAGAGCTGTGCAATGAAAACAGTCACTCATGGATAGGGCACTACTCATGCTAAAATAGTACAGATGAGACTACATTAATGTAGCCATTACCAACTAGCTGTTTACTCTTTTTAAAAGTTTTTGAACAGTTTTAAGATGATGTAGACTTGGAAATAGTCGTACTGTCCCTGCATTCAAGTGGAGTCAGCGCAGAGAACAGCATTTCTAAATCCTGGAGGCACTTCTCTGCGGTTGCCTAGCTATAGCAGAGGATTAAGTATGCTAACAGTGTCAATCCCATTGAATGTTGGATGTGTCAAGCTAAGCATTTTGGGATTGATGTGCCTAGAATATATTTGCTGTATGTTTTCAAAATGTTTCTTACTGCCTACAATTAATATACTCATTCTATATAAAGCATTATCTGTATTAAGAAATGTCAGTTAGCTAGGAGGTAGTTATATGAATAATTTTTTTCCCTTTAACCTGTTATATTAAGGAATATATTAAAAATATTAACAAAACAAGACCACTTGTTTTACTTTACTCTTCAAATAACTTTTCAATGTAGTTGAGAGTTTTTAAAAAAAAGGACTTCAGAAAGTATCAAAGGAAAGCAGCTTACAAATTATATAATGCAACAATTGAAAGAATTAGAAATAAAAGACTTACTACATGGAATCTAGTCTAACCAAGGAACACTCTGCAATACAATTATAAAGATCAAAGAAAAAATAATAGTACTTTAGGCAAGAAATTAATTAAGTCAGGCGATTCACCACTAGCTGTTAAGATCATTTAATCATTATCCAATTCCTTATTTGCTTTTCTGCTTGTCCTTCTTGCTTATTAGATTTTAATAAAACACTATAAGAAACTTTAAAAATAAGTTATACATTCCAAATTACTGCCACACTAACTCTTTGTTTTCCCCTACAGTAACAACCGGCACTAGTTCTGCCAGTGCCTTGTAGATTTTTACTTCCTCTCTTATAAAATTATGTCAAAGTGGTGAATATGCCACTGCACTTTTATTTGTTTCCAAAATTAATAACTACACCTTAGGTTCTGTGGGTAATATATTTTCTGTTGCTCAGTTGAAATAGTAGATTTCATATTGTCTCCTTTTAAGTTGTTTTATATACAAGAAATAGTTCTTTAGTCAGAGAATTGGGACTGTTATGCAGTGAAACCAGAGTAAAATTAAAGCTATGATAGTCTCCAGCCAAGGAACAATTCTTTCTTTCAATTTTCCATAACAAGGATAGTACTGAACATAGAGCAAAGAGAGGAAAAC